TTCTTCCCAATATCTGACCTCAATTTCCCCTCTGTCAGTCTGACCCCACTCCCCCTTGTCCTGTCACTGCAGTTCCTGATGAAAAGTCCCCCTCCAGCTTCCCTGGAGCCACTCCATATCCTGGAAGTTGCTGTGAGATCTCCACACAACCATTTTTTCTCCTATTCTCTTCCTATTTCTCTGCTATTTTATACAGAGAGGGCAAATATTGCTCCCAGAGGTGCCAGAAACTCCAGTTTGAATTCATTTACCATCAGAGATGCCCTGATTTTATTTGACTGAACACCTTGGAGACAAAAGAATCCCAACACTGGGGAAAAAACACCAGGAAAAGATGAAAGGCGCAACAAAACCCTCTGGATCCACCAGCAAACAAACAGCTCAACACCAGGAGGTTGCAGGGTCACAAACTACAGATTTTATTGTTTTTTTCCAGAAAGATTGAAGCAAAACATGATGAAAAGAGTGAAATATCCCACACACCAAGAGGAGAACGAAGAGCAGCGCCAGCGCTCACAGGAGGAACTCGCTGGGCGGCGGCTTCAGGGCACACCATAAGCACGAGGCGAGGGAAGGCAGGAGAAGAAGAGGAGTTCTACAGCTTCTAAGCACAGGAGGAGGAGCTTTTGGGGTGTTATCCATATCCAAATCCGTATCCAAGAGGGAACGAGCCGGGTGGGTTTAGCTGCTGCCGCAGCAGCCACTGCTGCTGCTGCTGCCGCCACAGCAGCCGCTGTTGTTGCTGCTGATGGTGTAGCAGCAGGGCATGCAGCAGGACTGCATGGGCATGCAGCAGGGGGTGCAGCAGCAGGGGCTGCAGCACTGCATGGGGCTGCAGCACATCGGCTTCTTGCAGCACTTGGGGCTGCTGTAGCAGCACATGGTGTAGCTACTTCCGCCACCGCAGCATCCGTTGGGCATCTTGGTGATGGGAGTGGAGGCGAAGCTGGAAGGGAAAGAGAGAGTTTGTCTTTTTCTCTGCTTGAATCTCCCAGAGGCTGAGGCAGCTTAAAGCATTCTTATCCCCAAATCCATCCCAAACCAGCTGGGGAAGTGCCTGGGGTCCTGAATCCCAGGACAGACTCCCGTGCTTCTGGCATTTTGTCCAGCACTGGTTCTGCCAGAGAGAATCCACCTGGGCGCAGCCCAAAACCAATCTCTGGTCCCCAAAACCAATCCGTGAACCCAAATCTTCTGCAGCTTCTAGTCCCAAACCAGACAGCCCAGAAAATCCTGGAGAAGCCTACGGAAAGAGAGTCCCAAAGTCAAGACAAGTAGCAAAGTCCAACTTACCCTGCTGAGCAGTGGAGGGAGGAGAGGAGAAGTCGAGATGAGCGAATGAAGACCCCTGGGCTGGGGAGCCTTTTTATACGCTCCAAAGCCTCCTCCCCTGGAAATGAGGCATCCCTTGGCAATTCCGACCCCGTGGATCACCCGGTGTATCCCCTCACGTGTCTTCCTCCTCCGGTGTTTAATCTCTGCCTCTTTCTGTTTGCTCACCACCTCAATTGTGTCCCATAATTACTCCTCCAGAGGAACAACAGATGCAAATTTTCTAATGGATTTGCGTTAATGGCACCGGAGGGAGGGAGCTCTGAGGTATTCCCATCCCTTCCCAAAGAATGACCTTGGGACACAGGGGCGCTTAGCAATGTGCCTGGGGGGAGCCAGGTGCTGAAGCAGTGGGACAACCATGCCTGGAACTTGGAGTTGTCATTGCTCATGTGTCCCCTCTGCCCTTGGCCGGGATTTCTGGGGGCCGGTGGAAATTTTTTGGTCAGTGGGAATCCTTTTTTTCCTGCCTCTGTTGTCAAAGTTTAGGCTGAAATTTCCCCTTTCTCAGTCTTGCTCTTGGGCCTCCCTTCAGGGTGCTGGGTCCTCACACTCCCTGTTTCGTAATTTTTGTTCTATTATTAAGATTTTTAAAATTTTCATTCATGGAATGGATGGGTTCAGTCTAAATGAAAGCAGCTTTCAAAGCAGCAGTGCACACGGGAGGGATTTTCCCCATGTTCGTTCCACACATCCTATTTTCTGACATTATCCCAAAGATTTCTGGCACTGAGGAGACTTGTGGTGATCACATTTGAGTGAGGAACTGTGGTCACATGCAGAGCAGGGACAGCTCCACGTTAGAAGATGTTGATGGTGTTTCCATGTGATGAGAGGGGCCTCCGGTAAAAGATGGGAATTCCAGGATGCTGAGGCAGCACCAATTCATGGCAAAAAGAGGCTGCCATCACATCCAGGAGACTCTGTCTGTGAGGCTGACGTGGTGGCAGGTGATCCCTGGTGACTGGAACAGGATCTGCCTTTCCAGGATGTGACCATGACCTCTTGTGACGTCGGGTGGCCCCTCAGGAATTGTCCCCAGGGGAGCATTGTTTTGGTCACTCAATAATAACCAAGAGTTGCCTGCAGGAAGCAACATCCTCCTTGTGCAAACCCTCAAACATCTCCCTTGAATCAATCATTCATCGCATTTTTATCGGGTTTTATTGCTGTCCTGATGGCCGAGATGATCTTGGTATTGTAGTCATAGAAATACGGAACGATTTGGGTCAGAAGAAACCCCAAAATCATCCAGTCCAACCCTCCTGGATGGGCAGGGACACCTTCCACTATCCCAGGCTGCTTCAAGCCCATCCAGCCTGGCCTTGGACACATCCAGGGATGGGATACTCATGGAATATCCTGTGCCAGGGCATTGCCACCCTCACAGGATTGGATATTCTTCCAAGGATTTCTTCCCAATATTCCATCTATACCTGTCCAAAGAAATATCCCACCCCACCACTGTCAATATTTAGAGCATTTTCACTGCTGTTCAACGCCATTTAACCTGCACTTGGGTCAGAAATAATATCCCCACAAAGTTCGTTTTATAGGCCACGCCCTATCCTGCGACCTGTCTAAACCAATATCCCACCCCACCACTGTCAATATTTAGAGCATTTTCACTGCTGTTCAACGCCATTTAACCTGCACTTGGGTCAGAAATAATATCCCCACAAAGTTCGTTTTATAGGCCACGCCCCATCCTGCGATGTTTTTGGAAACTTCCAATGTGGTTCTGTGAGTCTGAGACCTTTGTGAATCTGTTCCTGTGGCTTTTCCAGTGTAGGGTAAGGCCACGTTGGATGGAGCTCTAGTCTAGCTGCAGGTGTCCCTGTCCGTGGCAAGGGTATTGGAACGAGGTGGTTTTTGACACCCCTTCCAATGCAATTCATCCCGTGATTCAAAGATGGAATGAATATTCACAAGATTCTCTAAAGAGAAAGCACTTTATTGAATATTCTGATCTGGGATATCCTTCTGCCCACACATTGTGCCTAATTTACAATAAATAAAAACCCTCCTGAAGACCCAAGCAATGTTTTCAGAGAGTCAAACACGTAGAGAAGATGATTTTAATGCAGGTGTCGCGTGTGAAGGTTGGAGGAAGCAAATCAAGCCAGAGCTCCGGGCATTTTCTCCAGACCTGCAATTCCGAGCTGAGTCCTGCATTTTAATAGCAAAGAAAGTCCCAGCCAGGGAGGGAAGGTATCATTGACTCACGGGTTTGCTATTTTAGGAATGAGGCTTTTAGGTTGGATGCCAACCCCAGGTTTCATTCTCGGCTTGAAATGCACAGGGGAAACACTCTGCTCCCGTAAAAATTCAACGATTTCAGGGGGTTTCTAAGCTTTTCTTTTTGGAAGATGGTGGTGGGAAGAAGATGCTGCCTGCTGTCCAGTGAGTAGTGAATTCCTCCTGGTACCTATTGGAACACTCCTTCGGAGGTCAGGGGTGAGCTCCTGTGCACCTCACAGCTGTCCACAACTTCCTCCCGAGGGGCAGCTCCCATCTCTGTGCTGCGACCAGGGGCAGGATCTGAGGGAATGGCTGGAGCTGTGCCAGGGAAGGTCTAGGTTGGTTATTTCTGGAAAGTTCTTCTCCCAGAGGGTGGTGGGGCACTGCCCAGGCTCCCCAGGGAATGGGCACAGCCCCAAGACTGCCAGAGCTCCAGGAGCATTTGGGTAACGCTCTCAGGGACAGGGTGGGATTTTGGGGTGTCTGTGGAGGGGCAGGAGTTGGGCTCCATGATCCTGGTGGATCCTTTCCAAGTCAGGATATTCAGGGGGTCTCTGATTTATGGAGTGCTGTGTTTTCAGGTGATGCTGTTATGCCTTGCCCTTTGAGTTTTAATTACTTCAGCTCTCCGTTCTGTAGTAAATTCTGAGCTGAAGTGAATGCTCAGGAGGGGCAAGGAGGAATCAAGGAATGGTTTGGGCTGGAAAGGATTTAAAGCTCATCCCATTCCTCCCCTTGCCATGAGACACCTCCCACTGTCCCAGGCTGCTCCAAACCCTCCAACCTGGCCTTGGACATTTCCAGGGATCCAGGGGCACCCACAGCTCCTCTGGGCACCCATTCCAGAAGATCAGGAATGCTCCACTTGCTTCAGACATGACCTAATTTGTGCCAAGAGCTTGGACAGCTCTTTGTGTCCCCACTGGGGCACACCCAGGACCTTGGCCAAAGGCACAGATGGTGCCGGAATGAGGACAAACTCTGGGCAAAGTGACAAATCCTGGGCAAGGTGACAAGAACTGGGCAAGGTGATAAATCCTGGGCAAAGTGACAAATTCTGGGCAAGGTGACAAATTAAGGGCAAAGCTGTGTAAGAACAACCAAAAGACCAAATGTTGTGTTTTGCTTAATGCCAAGTTTTATTGTCTACGAGTCAAGAGAGGAAATGAAGAGTGGTCACCAAAGTGACACCAAAGGTTTCCCAAACACCAAGAGGAGAATTAACACCCCACTAATATCTAATGCCTTATACAATGAGCAGTAAACTCAGGCAGTCAATAATTAAAGACAATCGATAACTAAAGGACAGAAAGAAGCAGCAGCTTAAGCTTGGAAAGAAGAAGAAAATCGCTATGAATTGGCTCCATCACCATGAGAACCAGAGGCAAACGAGCAGCTTTTCACCTCCTTGTGCCCATTCTTGGAGCTCAGCAGGACTTCTTGAGGCTGGCGCAGCACTGCTGGATGGGGATGCAGGGGGTGCAGTACTTCCTCACGGGGGTGCAGCAAACCATCACGGGCTTCTTCACCACGCAGGAGCAGCAGGACAGGGACCCACAGGGGCTGCAGCAGGGCCGTGGGACACAGCACACGGACTTCTGGCACACCTTGGTGCAGCACACAGACTGGCACGGGTCACAGCAGGACTGGCAAGGGTCACAGCACGGCTTCTGGCACGGGTCACAGCAGGACTGGCACGGGTCACAGCAAGGCTTCTGGCACGGGTCACAGCAGGACTGGCACGGGTCACAGCAGGGCTTCTGGCATGGGTCACAGCAGACAGTCTGGCATGGCTCACAACAGGGCTTCTGGCATGGGTCACAGCAAGGCTTCTGGCAGGGGTCACAGCAGGACTGGCATGGATCACAGCAAGGCTTCTGGCAGGGGTCACAGCAGGACTGGCATGGATCACAACAGGGCTTCTGGCATGGATCGCAGCAGGACTGGCACGGGTCACAGCAGGGCTTCTGGCATGGATCGCAGCAGGACTGGCACGGGTCACAGCAGGGCTTCTGGCAGGGGTCACAGCAGGACTGGCATGGGTCACAGCAAGGCTTCTGGCAGGGGTCACAGCAGGACTGGCATGGGTCACAGCAGGGCTTCTGGCATGGATCGCAGCAGCAGGACTGCTGGCATGGGTCACAGCACACTGTCTTGCATGGGCTGCAGCACACAGTCTTACATGGGCTGCAGCATACAGTCTTGCAGGGACTACAGCACACAGTCTTGCAGGGGCTGCAGCACACAGTCTTGCATGGACTGCAGCACACAGTCTTGCATGGAGTGCAGCACACAGTCTTACATGGGCTGCAGCATACAGTCTTGCAGGGACTACAGCACACAGTCTTGCAGGGGCTGCAGCACACGGTCTTGCAGGGGGTGCAGCACACGGTCTTGCTCTTCACGACAGAGCAGCATCCCGTGGAACAGCATCCAGTGGAGCACATGGTGTTGGGAGAGGAGCGAAGGGTGGTCGGAGTGAGGACCTGGAACACAAAGGACTTTGAGATTCAACTCATCTTTCCACACTGCCCAGGCCCTTATCCCACCCTGCTTCCTATTTCTTGTCTTGAGTTGGAAACCCAAGATCCTCACAGGAATCGAACCAACTGTTGCTCTGTCCCAGAGATATTTGTACTCTCCTGGGAGCTGCCTGTACTGTGCTCATCCACATTGTTCCCTCCCTGAATTTCCACCCTGAGCAGCTCATTTTCCACTGTGCTCTCTCCATCTTTTCCAAGAGTCAACAGATCAACAGCCTCAGAAAAATCTGGATTTCAGGGAGAGCTGTAGCTCATGGAACCCCATAACACTAAAACCATGGAATTGCAAAACCTTGGAACCGTAAACCCATGGAACCACAAACCCATCCACAAAACCTTGGAACCGTAAATCCATGGCATCACAAAGAAATAGAACCAAAGAACATTTTGGGTCGGAAGGCACCTTTGAAGGTCCATCTGGCCCAACGCCCTACAGAGATCAGACACAACAACTCAGCCTCAATTCATCGCTTGCCCAAAGCCAAATGAGAACCAAGGATCCCTGGTAGGGAGCACTCACCGTTCTTGTTCTTGCTGAGAGCTGAAGCTGTGTGAGGAGCAGGGGCACCTGGAGACCTTTTATTGAGGTCGGAGTTGTCCTGCCGGACATGAGGTACCCCCAAGCAATCTGTGATTTACGCACTAAGCCTGTACTTATTCACCCAATGGGCCTTCATGTGTTTAGTCTTTGCCTCGTGGCTTTTGACCAACCCTTCAATTTTGGGTTATTATCAATTTGTTGTGTGAATTTTTTACAATTTTTTAATGTCGAGTTAATTCTTGTGGGACGCTCGAAGGTGTTGTTTCTGCTTGCTTTGCATATGGTAAGGCTGCTTCATGGAAATGATTAATTGACATAAAAATCCTAATTAAGATTGAGATGCAGTGGATTCCGGAGGCGTGCAGAAGCTTCTGGATGTCAGTTGCTCCTTGATATGATTTTTAAAATAGAATTCCAGGAAGTGCAATTCCATGGTCCCGTGCTTTGTGTCTGAATGCAGAAATGGTGGAGCCCAAAGTCCTTCTCTGGGGCCACCAGAAGGGCAAGCCCAGAAAGTTCTTGAAGTCCCATCCCTCATTGCATCTGTGCATGGGAAAACACTTGGGAATAGAATCATGGAATATCCCAGGCTGGAAGGGACCCACAGGGGCCATCCAGACCAACCCCTGGCCCTGCACCCAAAAATCCCAGCCCATGCCCGGGGTCATTGTCCAAACTCTCCTTGAGCTCTCTCAGGCTCAAGGCCTTGCCAATATCAAACATTTTCACTGCAAATACATTGTGGAAATTTGGAACGGGTTTCTGGTCAAATCGGAGCCCGCGTTTTTCCAATTCCTCTTTGGTGCATTTAGATAAAAGCAAAATGCAAAACCGCTCTGGAAGTTTTGCATCCTGTTTATGCTGGGCATAACTTGATCTGCAAAATTCCTATTCAATTCTTTTCAGATTCCAAGATGCCCTGGAGTAATGGAAGAGCCACCCACGGATGTTAATTCTGGAAAAACTCCATGCTCAGCTCGCAGTCACCCGCTGGCAGCGATTAGTGCTGATGTTAATGATCACGTTGTGATCAGCCATTAATGACGGATGTTAATATCTACTTTGCATAAAAGCTCCGTGTGATGTCCTGGGCATTTCGGGGATCTCAAATTAAACCACGACTTTATTAAAAAATGATCGCTCTCCGTCAGGGGAAATGTTTGGTGTCTGAGGTCACCCACAGGGGTGGAAACGGGGGCTGAGCACCGAAGGACCCCGTGCATCCCTGGAGACCCCTCACTTCTGCTGGGGTGAGGGAGGGGAGATTTAGGCTGTGTTTGCTCATCGAATTCTGGATGTTGAGGACACTTTGGGCCACCAGAACCTTCTGTTTGGCTCCTGGTGACGCAAATCCTCCGTTTCCCCTCAGTTCGGCTCTTGATGTTTGGCTACGTCACAATTTGAGAAGCTGGTCCTGCTTCCAGGAATTCACAGGACTGTGAAGTCACCACTTCTCCAGGCAAGGCCATCCCAAGGTCAACGTTCCTGTTCCCTCGGAGCTTAATTTCCTATTGGCTTCAGCTCTGTTAATGACCTTGAGCCGGGTCCCACCCATTATCTCCTAATTAGTGATTGACATTCGCACCCTGCTGAGCCCCTGCGCAGGGGATTCCAGAGTCTCCAGAGAAACTCCAGCATTAGAAATGTGGGACTTCCTGAGCAGGGAGGTGGCGGAAGAGAGTTTGGCCAAAACGAGGCCGTTTTTTGTTGACTTTGTATGGATTTGGTGCATGGGTTCATCCACTGAGCCAAAAAAACCCCATTGTTGCAGTTGGATGTGAACACCTGAGGAGTTTAAAGCTCTGCGAGGTGGATTCATAGATCCAACAGCGATTTCACAGAGGAAAATATTCAAATTAGGGCCATAAAAATGTCTCAATTATATTTTGCTTTGAGTAAAAGGACTGTGCAGGCTCTGAAAGATGCCCAGAGAAGTAGAGCTCTGTTTGTTTGGATTGGAGATCCAAGAAAACATTCCTGAGGCAAATTCCTCACCGTTAATCCCTGGGGGTTTCCTCACAGTTTGTCCAGGTTGTGGAATCCACCGTGTCCTTAGCAGAGCAGAAATGTCCCTTCAGGCCATCTGGAGAAAAGGATTTCTCTTGCCAAATGTTTGTGGTTCTTCGAGGCCTCCCCACCCTCCCAGGGAAAAATTTCCTCCTTATATCCCACCCTAAACTCCTCTCCATCACTCTGAAATAATTTCCCTGTGTCCTGTCCGTGCAGTTCAGGAGGAAAAGTCCCTCTCCAGCTTCCCTGGAGCCCCTGCAGATCCTGGAGGGGCTCTGGGGTCTCCACAGGCTCAACATTCCCAACATTCCCAGCCTGGTCCATGGGGGAAAGGCTCCTTATCAACTTTATGGCCTTCTCCAGATTTGGAAAAGGAAATAAAACTTGCCGTGGTCAGTGGTGGAGGAGAAAGCTGGAAGCTGGGGCAGCACAGGGAAGTGAAAGTCTCTACTTGAAGACCAAAGCACTGCTGTGGCTGTGAAACCTCACTAACTCAATTCCCACCTGCAGGCAGGGCAGGAATGAGTAAGAAAATGGTTTTTTTTCAGGCTCCTGTGAAGCTGAGCCACTTCTTAGCAAGGGCAAGAACCCCCAGGCAGGTGAATCATCCATTGGTCTGTGTCCCGACCTCAACTTTTCCTTTTTAACCCATTCCTGTGTAATGAGCATTTTCTCCAGAACCTATAAATAACTAATTCCAATTGCTTATTGACCAAGTGGTCATTTAGTGGCTATTGCAGCACTCAGCTCATTCCAGGCTGTTTTCCATGCCAGGGATGGGTGATGAGGGATGAATCATGCTGGGGAAACCTTCACTTATTTTACACTGCAGAAACTGGTTAATTGAGGCTGTTCCATGTTCCAAACCCTGCAGGATTTGATTTTATTTTGGTTCCAAAAATAGCAGTGGCTCTGAAAGCAGAAGCACGTGGGGAAAACATGAACATGCAGGCCAGGTGGAAACCTGAACCTCAACAGCTGCTGAGCCGAGGGCAAGGTTTGTTTCCCCCCCGAATTCACCCCACGAGCTCCTCCCAGCCCTGCAGGTATTTTCCATGGATTTCACGTTTTCTTGGCATTCCTCCTGCTCCAGGGATTAAATTATGATTCCAAACCCACAGGAAAACAGAGATGCCACCACACCACCATGGAATCCCAGAGAAATCCCAGAGAAAAGAGGTCCCAGGCTACCAAATCCAACGTGTGCCTGATCCCCACCTTGTCACCCAGCCCAGGGCACTGAGTGCCACCTCCAGGCTTCCTTGGACACCTCCAGGGATGGCGACTCCAAACCTCCCTGGGCAGCTCTTTCCAAGGCCTGACCATCTTTTCCAGGAGGAAATTCCTCCTAATGTCCCCCCTGAGCCTCCTCCCAGCTGAGCCCCACCAGGAATTCTCCAGACCCTTCTCCTGCTGCCCCAACCCCTTTTCCAGCTCCCTTCCCTTCTCTGCCACACTCCAACCCCTCAGTGCCCCTCCTGCCCACCGACCCAGCCCATTTAATGGAGCAGTGACTGAAAACATCCGGGACTGTTCGGTCGGCTTGAAACACCATTTTTATTGTCTTGCTGGAGGACGAAGCAGCAAAGCAAGTAGGGAACCATTCCCAGCGTTGGCAGAAGAAAGATAAACAGCTCAGAGTTCCTTAAACCGAGAGGTTTCATCCTGAAACTGCACCACCTCCAGCAGTTTCAGAAGGTTTTTCTTGGAGAGAAGTGACAAAGCTGCAGAGCCACAAGCACTGGGACGAGCGGGAAGCTGCGGGCGAGGAGCGAGCTGGTGCATCCTGGTGCTGGATCCTGCCCTCAGTACTTGGGGTAGGATGGTGGCAGCTTGCAGATGTTCTTGGTGACCTGGGGGCAGACCGGGGGGCAGTAACGCTGCACCGGGGGGCAGTAACGCTGCACTGGAGGGTAGCAGGGCTGCACCGGGGGGCAGCAGGGTGTCACGTAGGTGAACTTCTGCACAGGCTGCCTTTGGATGGTGTAGTGGCACGAGGGCCTCGAGTGGCAGGAGCTGGATCCGTGGCAGGAGGAGCGGGATCCGTGGCAGGACGACTCGTAGTCGTGGCAAGACCCGCGGGAGCACATCGTGCTGGAGTTCTGGCAAAGCTGTTGGGATCAATGTGGTGAGAGGAGGCTCTGGCTCTCTTCTTATATCCCCCCTTTTCTTTTTAATAATATTTTTTCTTGATGTCTCCTGTGAACTGTTTCTCTCCTTTTTTCACCTGCCTAATCCAGACCCAACACCCCCTGGATCCCGCCAGGTCTGCTGGGAGTGCTCTGGGAATTGGGGTCTGAAATCAGGTCCCTGTGTCAATTGGAGCCCCAGGAGCCCATCTGCCAAGCCCCAGCTCCAGCAGCATTTGTGTCACCCAAGGATCCCTCGGGGGGCTGCAGCTTTCCCAGGATTCCCAGGAATCCTTGTCCTCCATCTGCCATTCCCACCCCTCCCTCCCTCAGCACACACAGGAGGCACTTCCCTAAATCCCAGCTGCCACGAGATCCATAAAAACCCCTCGTGGAGGTTTAAAGAACAGAAATGGTGAAGTTGGTCTTACCCTCTTCAGCTGCAGCGAGAAGTTTCTGGAAGCAAAGGCGAGTGACTGCGGAGGACGGGGCTGAGGGACCTTTTATCCTCTCCCGAGGTCATTTGGGGTGTGAGGCACCTCCTCACGATGACACCTTAATTAATTCTGTGCTCAATCCCGCAGATGTTTGCACTTCCCCTGATTTTAGGTGTTCCCTCCTTGACACACCGGGTCCCGTCCTGCCCGAGATTCCTACGGCAGGGATTTTGGAAGGGCAGCTCTCTCCCATTTCCTGCAGACTGACACTGATGTGACGGGTGCTAATTAGGGACGAGGGACACCCGGGATTGCATCAGGCACAGAAAAGTCTCAGAAACGCTGACTCCGGGGGTTGGTCTCCCGTTGGGAACAGGTGACAGCTCAGGGTTTTAATTCCCCTGTTGTTGAGTGCCAAGAGGAAATGGGATTACCGCCTGCAATTCCTGGGGATGGCACAACGCCGGAAAATCCGGCGGGATCTCCTCGGCTC